TCCTTATGAATAGCAGAATATTCTTTTCTTCACTGAAGTCTAGAACTTGTCTGGGGAAGATCAGTAAAGCTCATTGAGTGCATGATGTGACTGCAGCTCTTCTTCCTTTTTTTCTCAAGTCAAGTGTTCACAGTCAGAATATTCAGAAAGAAGATCCTTTGTCCAGTTATATACGGGGCATTTATTTATTATTAGTTAATCTTAGGATTTATCCCCTGACTGGTTTCAAAAGTAATGCAAGTAACTTGGTCTATGTAGAGTGTAACCTTTATTACTTGCTTAAAATGTTTTGTGTGTGACCCAGCTTGCAGTTCTTTGGTGAAGGAAGCATGCTCAGTGCATGACTGGCTTAAAAAAATTCAATAATTATTTACTCAGTAAACAAATGTTTTGAGCATCTACCTAGCCAGACATTTTTGTGGGTGCTGTAGCTGACAGTGGTTAAAAAGGATAGAACTTAAATTGTACCAGAGGAACACATAAGTAAGTGGTGGATAGATAGGCAATTATTATCTACTATTTTAGTGCTTTTCTGTATTTAGTGCTATGGAGAAGAGTAAGAGAAGAAAAGGAGATATCAGGGGTGTTGCTACTTTTAATGGGATGTTTAGGGAGCATGTTATTGATTAAAGGACATCTGAGCGAGATCTTGAAGGACATAATGAAAAGAGAACCTTGCAGACGTGTTCAGGCAGAGGAACAGCCAGTGTTGTAGCACATTTTACTCTTTAAGAAAAGAACAAAGATTTCTTAGAAAGCAGGGAATGAAGTGAGAAAGTGACAGTAGCTCAGAGTGGTGGAACATATGTAGACTATATAGGATCTTCCAGGAAACTATAAAAGACATCTCCAAGATGCTTTCCTTGGGGTGAGATGGGAAACACTGGGTGAATTTTTAGCAGTGGAGTGACATGACTGACCTTTTTACTTGTTCCAGGTACTTACTGCTAATAAGCTTGATCACATTAATTAATAAATTGTTAATTTGGGATTCCAACGTTCATAAAGAGAACTGGGAAAGTTAGTAGTTGGTATGACAAGACGAGGCATTCATAGCAATTAGGGAGTCTTTTTGTAGGATTTAGTGAAAATCCTAAATTGCTTGAGTTATATAACCCCAAGCTTCAAGTTATTCTTCCTCATGACCAGGACAGTTTGGCTTATTTTCTTGTCATCCATCTCCTAAAGTTTCTTAAATGCCTTTCTAGCTCAAATCTAATGCATTATACCTGGCATATACCTTCTCAAAATAATGTTGCACAAAATGTCCCCTGTTTTCTTAGTGCTTCAGTGTCTACTATGATTTCAAACATAGAATTTGCCTTTTGAAGTCTTCTTCAATTGGAGGTAGGCTCTCAAAGTCCCATTTATTTTACATGTATACTATGCCCACATGTATTCCTTTGAGCAACCTAAAATAAAAAGTTCTCATGGTGTTGAGGAAGAAGGTCTTTTGAAAAGCAAGGTTCATGAGAAACTAGTTAAAAAGTTCATGAAAAACTAATTTTAATCACACACACAAGTTGGGTATGGTGGTACATGCCTGTAACTCCAGTACTCTGGAGGCAAGGGCAGGACCGTGATAAATTCAATGCCATCCTGGCATACATAGTGAGACCCTGTCTCAAAAGAAAAAAAATAAAGTAAAAGAAGACAGAGAAAGAAAGAGAGAGAGAAAGAGAAATAAATTAGTTCTGAAATACCACTAAAGCAAAAAGGAACAGCAGTAAAAGTTACCCTATGTTTTCTAGGACTTTTGGAAAGTTGTGAACTAGCTCGTTTTCCTAAATAGTCTTATTTTAATTTTGTTGAAGAACAAAGTCACTGTAATACCTGGGCTGGAGCTAACTGTTGTCATTTTTTTAGATAGGTATTATTAGATCAGGACTTCTCTGGTCTTCCCACTGCTGTGAAAGACACTGCCAAAAGAAGTGCTGTTCTGCCCACTAGCTTAAGAAAAAATAGTGTCCTCTCTTTTTTTTCCTTCTCCAATGATTATTTTATGCAAAGTCCAGGTTTATTATATCTGGACTATCTGAAATTTTGATTTATTTAAAAATTTGAGTGATCTGTATTTGAATGTTTAATTCTGGATAATTTATTCCTTTGTTAGATTAGCACAACCATAAATAGGTAGTCCTGTGGCTTCTTCATCAGTAGCTCAGAATACTGTGTGAATTTTGCAGTGCAAGAAGTACTCAGTCTAGAGGATTTAAGTAAAGTAAGTACAATCCATCCCTAATTATTCACAGATTCTGCATTTGCAAACTCACCTACTCAGTAAAATTTATTTATAATCTGCAAATTAATACTCATGGCCCTTTCACAGTCATTTGTGGACATGTTCATGGCAAAAATTTTGAGCCACTTGACATGTGTATTTCTACTTGAGGTCAATAAGATGACACTTTGTCTTCTTGTTACTATACTTCTTGATACTGTAAACACATGTCCTTTTCATGATCTCTAGTGAAACATTTTCCTGCCTTTTGCTGGTGATTGTGCTGTTTAAAATGACCACCAAGCATAGTACTGAACTGCCCTCTAATGTTTCTGAATGTAAAAAGGCTGTGATGTATACTTTAGGGAGAAAGTAATCTGTTCTAGATAAGCTTCATTCAAGCATGAATTATAGGAGGACTGGTCAGGGAGTTTAGTGTTAATGAGTCAGTAATATACATTAAATAAGGTATCTTTAATCAGAAACAGACATAAAAAAGATTTTGCATTGAACTGATGACCAAAAATGTTGTGACCAGAGGCTTATAGGAGCCCTGTTTTCCTTAGGAACAGTGGTTCAGTATTTACTAATTCAATTTTGCAGCAACTTCATAGAACACAATACCATGAATAAAGAGAATTAACTATTTAATTAACGGTGGTGACTTGTAAAGACTTTAGGTATTAGAAATGTTTGTGGTTACCTCTCTTTCCGAAACTTGTTTCAGGTATACTTAAATATGTGCTGGCAGTGTTGTAATGTGAATCTAATTTTACTTTGGGTCATGGTCATAAAAGGTTGTGATATTAGTTAGCATGTAAAGAACAAGTCTTATGTATTTTTGTTTAAAAAATTTTGGTTGTACTGGAGTTGATTAAAGAAACATTTCTAAATATTTTCCTTCAGAAGCATATTGAGCACTCAATAAATATTTGTTTTAGAATAATAACCTTGGAATACTATATTGATTCTGGTTTTGGAAAGAAGGTAGTATCAATGTTAGAGAGTAATTCTCCTAGGATTTTATGGTATGTGGTTTCTGTAGACTGAAGCACATGAAAGAAGACTCAGTTGAGTTTCAAGTTCTTGTCTGTGCTTTGCTTGAAGCTAACTTAAAGCTAGCAGTTCTGAGAAATTTACCTAATTTCTTTGAGCCTCGATTGCCTTGTCTGTGAAGTAAGGAACATTTTCAATTTAAAGATTCTATGGTTTCTTTTTGTTAGTATTATTCCTGCCCTTGTTGAGTCATTTCTATTCTCATCATGTCAGATTGCCAAGGAAATAGTGCAGTATTTCAGAACTGTGCGATGTCAAAATATATTAGCTCTCAGATTTCAGTTTACTGAACTCAAGTTCAGTTGCATTAGTTATTGATAAAAACATAAATTGTGCATTTGATATATCTTGACATTATGTACTTCTGTTGGTAAGAATAAATAAAGGAACATTCTTGATATTTTCATGACTTTTTTGGGATATAGGATATTATGTTGGTGTTTGTTTTATTTAACACAATGTTCTAAATCACAGAAAGTTCTCTTTAAAACTCAGAATACTTTTTTTGATAAAACTATTAACTTTTTCTCTGAGGCTTAAGTTTTAGATCATAAGTACTTAATTTTTTAAAAAAATATGTGTAATGTGTTGGCATTATTTTAGGTAACCTTGAACATATATAGGTACTGTAACAGATGAAATTTAATAGTGAACATGCTGAAAAGATGCTATATTAAATTTCAGGCCAAATGTTAAAAAAAAAAGTAAACATGCTTGATGTTTAAAATTTTAGAAATGTTGTAAAGAGAAGTAAATTTGAAGCACCTATAATACCAGTACTTAAAACACAGTTTTCTGAAGTCATCTGGTCTTTATGTAGTTTAAAATTTGTACTATAGTCATATAATTTCTTATTTTTCTCTTAGCATAATATAATAAAAACATCTGTGATTTCACAATTTTTTTAATAAACATCTTGTTTAGGGATATATAGATATATCTTTAGACATATCTATCCCATCTTATGGATTCTTTTATCTTGAACTTGGGTTTTGATTTTTATATACATACAGTTTTATCTCTTGTTTTGAGCTTTTGTGGATAAAGCTGCAGTGAGCATTGTCTGTATAATTTTTTTTTTTTTCTGTTTTAGGAATACTTCCTTAGGATAGATTGCCAGAAGTGGAGTTACTGGGTCAGAGGGTATGAACCTAAGAACTTTTTCCTTTTTTTTTGAATAAAATTTTTAATTTGCTGTCCAGTTGATTTATATTCATTGTGAAAAATGAAAGTCATAATTACTCCTATTTCATGACACTTATCTGAAGACAAGATTCTGTGATCAGGAAATTCCCAAGATACAAAACTTCGTGAATCTGATTTACCTTAGCATTTCCCAAACCTGACTGGACACTGGATTTTTTTTTGCGATATTCTTTGCATTTTGTAGAAGCTTTATGTAGGGCACAGTTTCCGAACTACTGATCTAAACTTTGAGCTGTTTTATTGGACAAAGAAACTAAATTGAACTATAAAGTTTCATGCTAAAATTATTTAAAAAGAATATTAAAATAAAGCTGTTTACTTTATGCATTTGAAAATGTCTTACAACTTTACAAGTTAAACTTTCTATATTGATTACCAAAACAAATCTTAATGCCTTGATAACATCAGATACTTTCTTGCAATCTTTAATGATACTTAGAATATAGACTTAAAGCATGAAAGTAGAAGATGATGTAGATTACACCAACTTTGTTCTCTCTCCTATTTTCCTTCACAGAATGTGAAAACCTTTGCATCTTCTGATAGTCTAGCCAAGGTGCAAGAAATAGCAAGCTGGCTTTTGGAAATGAATCAGGAACTGCTCTCTGTGGGCAGCAAAAGACGACGAACTGGAGGCTCTCTGAGAGGTAACCCTTCCTCAAGCCAGGTAGATGAGGAACAGATGAATCGTGTGGTGGAGGAGGAACAGCAGCAACAACTACGACACCAAGAGGAGGAGCACACTGCAAGGAATGGTGAAGTGGTTGGAGCAGAACCTAGGCCTGGAGACCAGAATGATTCCCAGCAAGGACAAGTTGAAGAAAACAATAATCAATTTATTTCAGTAGATGAGGATTCCTCAGGAAACCAAGAAGAGCAAGAAGAAGATGAAGAACATGGTGGTGAGCAAGATGAGGAAGATGAAGAAGAAGAGGAAATGGACCAGGAGAGTGATGATTTTGATCAGTCTGATGACAGTAGCAGAGAAGATGAACATACACATAGTAACAATGTCACAAACTCTAGCAGTATTGTGGACCTGCCCATTCACCAACTCTCCTCCCCATTCTATACAAAGACAACAAAAGTGAGTATATTCAGTTTACTGTTAACTTGACACACGTTCACATCTTTTAATTGTGATGAACTTTTCCTTACAGTCTTACTAGTACTGCCTGTTAATATTCACATATGTAATAATATAATGAGCTAATTTTTATTTTATAAAATGTAGTAGAAAGTATTACAAGTAGAAATATTGTTAAGGGGACAACCTAATTGCAAAAGGAGGGAAGGAAATCGATTTTGTTTACTATGAAAAATCATTAACATCAAATTTTCCTGCTGAAGTTTGCTCCCATTGGAGGGATTAGTAGTTTGTGTGGGTTATAGAAACTTTGGGTAAAATGTGATTTGTATAAAGTAATGAAGAAACTTCTTTTATTAACAAAGTATAGCCAGTGTTACAGGCTGCACATTCATAAGTGTTACTGTTTTTATTTTATTTTAGTGGCACTGGCATTTGAACTCAGGGCCTCACACTTGCTAGGTAGGCTCTTATACCCATTTAAACCACTCTACCAACCCTTTTTTTGTGATGGATTTTTTCTAGATCTCCCTGTTTTCCCAGGCTAGTTTTGAACCTCAGTCCTCCTGAAGTTTGTCTCCTGAGTAGCCTAGATTACAGGCGTGAGCCACTGGCGCCCAGCTTATAAGTATTTCTCTTAAGGCATAAGTTGCTGGAAATTGCCTCAAATTAGTTCTGGTTCTTTATCATTTGAAAGTTAGCTAGAAATCATTAATCCATGTAGAATCGACTTATGAGTTAAACTGTATAGGATATTTTAACTTGAATAAAAATTAAAATAATGTGTGTAAGTGGTCGACCCTCGTACTCTGATTTGCTAATTTTTAACTTTTACAGTGAATCATTAATTTAGTCCATAAATAATACACAAACAGGTTTAGCATCATCTCTTTTAATCTGATTTGACCTGGAATGAGGTGCCTGACTCATTTATTTTAAATTGCTAAATCATTTTTGCTTTAACGTGTAAAACTTAAGCTATCTAAAATATGTTTATATCCCTAATTTCCATAGCTTATGCACCATAGATTTTATTTAGCTGGTATGATTTAAGAAGGAAATGGCATCAATGTAGTGGTTTTCTTCCACTTTACCATCCCTGTCTCAGTATGGTGAAGTTTTGAATCTCAGCCAGATAGATCTACCACTAACAACCACAGTCCTGCTTTGTTACCAAGGCTCGGGCCTCCATATTGTCATTCCCCCAGCTTCTATCCCCTCATCTTGCTCTCACTCCCTCAAGGTTATTTTATCAAAAAAGGAAGTTATTCTTTCCTTTTTCTGAAGGTTCATAGAGGGGGTTTAGTACTTAAGATTCAGCTGCATTATCTTATTTAAGAGAGAAGTTTAACCAGAACCAAACCTTGTTGAACAATGCAAAGCTGCTGCAGATTTTTAAATTATAAAAAAAAAAAAAAAGAAAGACTGGATGTGATGGCATATTCTTGCAATTCCAGCACTTGATGCTGAGACAGGAGAATCTCGAATTCAAGACCAGTCTGGGCTACATAGCAAGACTCTGTCTCAAAATACCAAAAGTCAAACACAGTAAACTAGTAGGAAACCTAGCTAGACAAAAGCATCTTTTTTTTTTCCCCAAAAGGAGAAGTCATTGTCATTACAATATTCTATAGGAAAACTTATAATACACAGATTTGACAGGTGCTTTGTTTTTCCTTTATTTTCAATATGAAGCTGTGAAAAGAACATGAAGGTATTTCTTGTACAGTCGTACAGTTACCGCTTTAAAAACAAAGTATACTGAAGTTAGCATTTTCCCTAGTGATTCTGAGTCTTGAATAGTAATTATTGGTGTGGCCTAGGGAATAGATATAATTATGTGTTTGTGCACATATGTGTATATACATGGATGTATATATACTTTGATATGTTTTTTATCACAAAGGCATTTGCCTTCATAAATGCCACGTGAAGAATATAAAGCTGTTTGGTTGCCAAGGCAGTAATGTCCTTGTACAAAGTATGATTTCAGTCTGAAATTGGTCTAAATGGTTTCTTTTTGTCCATTCCTGAAACTCTTCTCCAGGGTCATTCCAGAGAATTTCAATTTTTCAACAACTGTGTGTGTGTGTGTGTCTGTGTATGTCTGTGTAATGTAGTGTATGTGTGTTATTAGGGATTTAACCCAGGGCTGCCTCATACTTGCTAGGCACTCTGCTACTTGAGCTATGTCCCCAGCATTTTAAAAAGTTACTTATCTAGCACTCTGGAGGCTGAGGCAGAAGGATCCTGAGTTTGAGGCCAGCCTAGGCTACATAGAAAGGTCCTATTTGAAAACTTTTTTTAAGTCAACCTATTGCAGCATTGTTTTAAGAAGAAAATGTCACCCTGGATCTGTATCTTGGTGTCATGGTAAATAGGGAGGCACTCTCTAGTTGAAGTACTTTATTTTGAAGGTCTTTAAATTCTTGATCATTATAAAGGAAAGAACTCCATGGACATTATCCTAGGCCATAGTTTCATTCAAATCTTTCTAAACTTTGACCTTTGAAAAGAGGAGAGGTATTAGGATCATTTTTTAAAAGTCTTATTTAAAAATGGTAATATAGGATTAGTCTTCAACAGTTTACTCAGCATACCTTTCACATTTTTTTTTATAATCTCCTAAATAGACCCTGAGGGTTGCTAGACTTTCATAGGCAGGTTGCATTTGCATATGATATTAATGAGAAAAAATTTAGGTTCTTCTTGTGTTGGTTTATTCTTTGAAAGTATATTGGAAACTGCCAAAACTCTAAGGACACCCTCCTACCCACCCACATACCAGTCACTAAAGATGAGTTGTTATGGGAGCCTCTGGCAAAAAGTATATGTTAGAAATTCCCCTGTTCTAATGTTAAAAGCCAAGGATAGTGACAGTCAAAAATTGCTGCTTATTAAGCCCATTCTGTTTGCAAGAGCCTGTGATGAAGTGAGGTTACAAAGAGAATAAATGATTTACCCCAAATCACACTGTAAGTGACAAAGAATTTTAGTCCTGATCTGCCCAATTTTAATACCACCCCTCCCCACCCCCCCTTTTGCCATGTGTTATGCCTATGGTAGAATCTTAAAATTAATACTAAATAGGATTTTCAACAGAACTGAGTCTAACATTCTAGACTTTGGGGTATGATGGTTTTCTAATCCAATATGAATTTCTAATCTAATATGAATCAGGTATTTCAATATCACATTGAAATAATTTGAGCCACCTATTAGAAACCACAAAGAGCTTAGTTAACTGTTTTTCTTGGAGGTATTTAATAAGACATTGATGAAGACAGGAACACTGATGCTAAAGTTGTAACAGGAAGAAATGACAGTGACAAATTTAAGACTGGATGAAACAGGTCATTTTGAAAATAGTATAGTGAGAGCTACTAAAACTGTTTAAAAAGTGGGAGAGAGTAAAAGGGGGTAAGTTCAAGCTTAGTATGTGTAGGTATGTAAATATCACAATGAAACTCCATCGTAATTTATAGCAAATTAAATTTAAATTCTTTAAAGAGCACATTAAACATGCTTCTTCAGTTAGGGGTTGTATGCTGGCTATTTCTCTAGTCTTCCTGCAAATTCAAGAGTGAGCTTGCTTCTCAATATAAAAATGTCTGTCTCTTCATTTTTAACTCTTGCAAACAATCTTACTATATTTCTTAAAAATCTTATTTTCTCAAGAAGTGGTCAACTCGTATTGAAGAATCTTTGACTTTTTTGTTGGAGAGTGTATTAGCTCATTTTTAAAAATCATTTTGTTTTTGCTAACTCATTTTCTACTATCATGAAAAGCAAATGAAATTATCATTAAGCCAAGTCTTGTATGCTGATATTTTCCTGCAAGGAAGTGTTCATGGAAACTAATTTCTGATGCTTCCATCTGTTTTATTGAGTTATCTCATTTTTGTCTTTTTCCTCTATTATGACTTTTAGAAATCTCCGGGTAACTAAACAGTTTTTATCTTTTTTGTCTCAAAAAATAAATCAGTATTTATTAAGAAATAAATATGAATCAGGTAGAAGGGCCACTAGCCAATCCTGGAATCAAATAATAGTTTTGTTTAGTCTGCTATTCTCCAACAACTTCCTAGAGCCAGAGCTACTGGCAAAATGTAGGATTATGTGGCCTCTAAAGACCTTGGTTTAGTCTGTTTGCACAGCAGAGAATTTAAGTTCAAATTCTGTTAGGTGTAGACATATCCAGAAAGCTATTTAAGGCAGTGATCTAATATAGGATCCACTAGTAAACATGGTCCATGAAACTGGAAACATTGACTCAGTCTAGTTTAACCCAATGTTGAACATGAGGAGGATGGAGGAGGGGGAGGGATGTAAGGGGTTTCCTCTAACATAATAGAGTGATAGCTCTTCATCTCTGAGTTTGAATTCTGATTATATCACTTGTCATATGGCCATAAGTATGTAATCTTATCAAGCCTCTTTCCTTATCTGTAAAATAAGACTATAGCACCTACTTCTCAGAGTTTTTATAAGGATTAAGTAAAATAAAATATGTAGAACAAGTTTCCTACTGTCTGGTTAACTCAGGTAGTATATAAATATATAGGCCTGTGACTTCATTTTGTCTCTCTCTACCCCACAAAAATATACTTCATTCTCCACACCATGTATCAGTCTGTATTTTTATGCCCATTAAAGTTCAGTCATCATATAACTCTAGTGGAAAAGATATAAATAGAGAAGAAATACTTTAAAAAGGTTATATAGGTAGCTTGGAAACAAACTATTATTAAGCTGGGCCTCGTTAAAAATAAAAATATGATGTAAATTTCTAGGGGGAGTGTTACTCACAAATCTTCCCAATTGGTAGGTATTTGCCATTTCTTTGCATGAGAATTTAAGTAGTGTTGCTACATTTTTTTTTTCATAAAACTTCTGTGTATTTAAATGCTATGCTAAAATGAATCTTCGGTTCCTATTAGTCCAGTTTAAAAAATACTTAACATCTTAAAACATAATAGCTTTAAGTGTTGTTTAGACCT